CCGAAGAGCCCTAAATCATCCTAAACCTCAGGTACTCCAATCTGTCCCCTGGGCTCTTCGGACACCCTGAAAACCCAACGGCCCAGTGTCCGGCCCTTCTCACGGCTGCAGGCTGCTGCAGGTGTCTCGCCCGGTCACCCGGAGACCCACTGACCTACCCGGTGGCCTGGGACGTCTCCCTCCTGGTACCCTCCCTGAAAGCAGCATGGTTTTCGTGGAGCACCGCCCCTGTTGGGTAACCTGATGGTATTGGGGTATATTCAGATGTGTTCAGATTTTTCATATGGCCTTTTCGAGGGGTCCATGCCATTCTTTCAGGGAGGGCCATTGCACACCCAATATCACCCAATCCCCGCTCCAGCCTTTGCAACCGCTCCAGGCGACCATCGGCCTCAACTGCCCCACTGACCGGGAAAACATACGGTACAATGCAAGCTGAAAGGAAAGCAGCGTGCCAGGATGCCAACTCCAAAAATCTGCCCGCAACATCTCGCAACTGGTTTTTAAGCTGCATGGTGTGAACACGATGAATCCCCGCTATACTATGATGTCTTCAATCTGTACATGCGTCCAGCATGTCACTTCCGAAGGCTAAATGGAGGGTGTGTGGAGAAAGGGGGGGGTCAGCAAAAATCGCTTATACAACGTTAGTGCATCGAAAATACCTTCCAAGAAGTTCTGCGAAGGTTTCTTGGATTTTGTTGCAGTCAGTTCTCCTACTGGCCCACCATTCCACTAAATGTCCACGAATAGCCCCAGGTTCTACGAATGTTCCGCGCCTTCCACGATGTTAGTGGAATAGCCGTTTTTGCAAAACTGTTTCTGTGCACTACCCTTCCGTTTGCCTCTGAACTTCTTGTGTCACTTGAACGAAGTCATTTTGTCCCATGTAACTCGCCTCCAACGAACCTCAACTCGCATGCACATCGGTGCATTGAATACAGCTTTTCACTAGCCCTGCTGACCTGGATGAGACGAATTCAACAAAACGCTTGAAACATCTTGTCGCCCATCTGTCGCCCGGTCTTCAACTGACGAAGACTGCAGCGCCCCAGCTGGCCGCATGGAGGTCTCGGTCGGCCTCATGGATGGAGGGATCGGGGAACAGCATTGGCTGAAGCTGCTCCAGAAAGCCTTCCTGGTGTCACGACCATTCTACCTACAAGATGTCAAAACGAAAACAGCATATTCCAGCACCACGGATTCCGGGTGTCCATTTTTGCCCCTTAAGAGGTCAAGGGTGTCCATAAACCACCCTGGACCCTTTCCGTCGTCCTGGTTAATTAAGATTAAGGCTCCACCATTGTCAGGTTCTACGTTGCAAATGGTAGGTAAAGGCTAAGGTTGGCAAAAGGATGCAAAAGGTCAGCATTGAAAGCTTGTGTTTCCAGTCATGGTCAAGTCATGCTCCACATCTACCGCTGAAAAGAAAACATGCCACAAGACAAGAGCCGCTTTGTGACCGATTTATGGATCTGGCGTTTGGTCCAACTTGGTTGGACTCAGGTGGGAAACGCTTAAAACCCAGTGGGTCAAAACCAAAGATTGTTCACCAGAATCCATCAAGGAGCTCACATACCGGGGGAATCATCACCCACCGTGTTGATGCGTTCTTTTCTTACGAGTTTTGACCCACACCCACATCTCTTTCACCCGATCATGCCGGCTGCTCCATAGAAGGCTGCGCTGTTCCGAACAAAGTCTTGGACGGGTGAGGCCCGTTGGTGAAACATGCCATCCACGGCCACATCTTCTGTAAGTAAGGACTTACGTTGGCTTTCAGAATGGCATCCGAGTCCCGCTAGTACCAATCCGTCGTCGCAAGAACTAGGAGATGATGATGCCTCGCAGGAATTCAATCCCTCAGTAAATCTCACTAAGGAGAGCTTCAGTGAGGGCTATACCTCGAGCACCCTGAGAGTCCAATGGACTCGTTTGACCCCTAAGGTAGAGGTGGATTATGACTGCCAAGTGAGATCAAATGAGTCATTGGAAGTTCCAGGGTACAGTTTTTTTACATGCCTAGACACGACCAGTCTGGGACTGCCATAGGACTGCCGCCTTAGAAGGTGTCTGGGGAGGTTTGGGGAGGGTTTGGAGGGTCCAAATACCTTCCGAGGAGGTACTTGGATCCCTAGGGAATGTTAAACTTAAGTACTTTATTAATCAAATTGAGAACAACTTGCCTTGCTGGATATGCATGTCCGAGCATCTTGTGACAAGAGCTTTCACAAACACTCTGCTCTACAATCCGTAGAAGCGATTGGTGTTCTGAGCTCTTCCAAAACAGCTCACCAGGCTCACCACACTAAGTGAGTGGCGAGCGAACAAATGAGCGCGATGCGCGCCAAAAATTGGTGCATCAGGCTCTGCATTCGGGCTGTCTAGTCACATTGTGGCCGTGCCCGTCTGCTCCGACCAGCCTCCTACACGATGATTCTGAGTGTCATCGTGACACGGGGTATTCGAGACCCTCCCATCTTTGGCTTGCAAAAGTGACGTCACCCCAATAAATAGAGATTCCATGAAATTCCTATATAAGAAACACATATGGAATTCATCCACTGCCACCCTCATTCAAAGGTTATAAGTTATACGATGTTATACGCTCGGCCTGTTTATTTAAAGTCACTTCCGCCAGCGAGGTCTCGCTCCCTCCACGGCGGCCTGCCGTAGGCTGTCCGCCGTGGAGCAGGGTCCTTTCGCTACCTCTGAAGCTCAGCTCTGCCTTGAGGCGCTCAAGCTCGACTCATCACGACTCCCATCCAGGGATCCACGTCCAGTTCGGCTCACTGCAGTTGAGCTCCGCTTGTGCCTGGGAAGGAACTCGGAGGAACTCCACAGTGATCTGGAGTTCCACGGACGAGAGACTGCAGTTGAAGGGCAGGTAGAGGCTGGGAGAGATACGGGGGAGGCCCCGGATCAGTCCGAAGTGTCCTGGGCATTCTAATCAGAATCGCCATGAAGATTGTAAGTTCCTAATTTTTCTGCTCTCCTTCCGCGGCAAATCCTTCAAGATGGGTGATACACTGTTGATTGATATCGGTTGATAGATATCACTTGCAGTACTTTTTTGGAGGGTCTTCCCACTTAAAAATGCACACCCAAACATTTAGACTTTGAGCAAGCCTGACCTGGAAGCCACCTGTAAAAAGATCTGCCACACTATCTGCCACGACCCGATGCCGTCTCTGGGCAAATGTTCCCAAGCAGTGAATGATCATTGTACGAAACCAGGATTAACATCGAAGATTTGATACCCTTACCACAAGCAAAGCGGCCGTCTGCCCAAGAGAGGGTAGCCTGCAGTCTGAACCCTCCAACTCCAACGTCGTTGCTTTTGCAAACAAGTACCCTTCACTTCCCACCACCCTCGCCACATTCTTGCCTCTTCTCGCCACCCTTCGCCACCGCCCTCCCACACCCCCCCGCAGGACCGCACTGCATCGGCAGGCGGCCATGGACGGCCCTGGGAGGAAGGGCCGCAACATGGACTTTGCCACCCAAACGGCCATCGCCTGGGCCTCGAGCAGTTCCAGCCGGCCACGTCGTGCCCGAACCCAGGAAGGGTGGAAGCTGCCGGATGTGCGACAGAAACGCGGGGATCTGAAGCAGTTCTGGGGAAGGAAGTATTTAGGAGTACGTGCCAAAAAGTTGATGGCATGCTCCAAGAAAAGGGTTGTTGATATGGCCCTCCATCTGGAAGACCTCGACTGGGTGCCAGTGCCATTTCTCACCTCTGATGGCCCACTGTAGAAAGCATCGAACACAGGCGAGGCTTGGAACGGGACATGCGACTGGACCATGGCATCGAGGGACTGGTACATGGGGAATGGTGAAGGGGGAGGAGAGCGTGCAGAGGTTATATATACATTGGGCTGCTCAGTGGAGATAACCTAAAGCAGGAACACGCACGGCAGTATGGAACATCGGGGAATAGGTGGCTTATGGGTGGCTTGACCTTCCGTTCTTTTCCTTTTCCTGTGCGAAAAGCGGTTGAATCGTGTTTTTTTCCCACTCGGAGGATCGAAGGGAACTGGGGAGAATGTGCCAAAATATCGTGTCATAGAATCCAAGCTGAGTGAATGGACCTGGTATATAATGCCAAAAAAGCAGGAGGACGAGGGCGACGAGGGGGATTGGATCCAGCCAAGGCCCCCCCAATGACCTGCACTGCAATGCACTGGCTCCATGTCACAATACATGTCCGTGGTTAATGTAGACGTAGACTCTTGATTCATCCAACCCGCCCGGTATATGAAAAGGTGTTACAATCCAAATGTTGTTGACAGTGATTTCAGAGTAGCTGGCAAAACCAACGATGTTATTTGTAATGGAGTTCCTTATAAACCAGCTTGTGGCCAGCTTGTGGGGATTGCGCCATCTACTCCGAAACCACTGTATATTACATTACCTGTGCCAGGACCCTCCTGTCGGGGTGCCCTGTCTGGAAGCCTAGGCCGGTCGTGTGGGAGTAGCTCATTGGACACCACGACAGGAGGCTCCTGGTATCAGTTCGTAGCTAAAGCGACCTGCCGTGACCCACTCGTTCCTCCCAAAACACCGCGGGCACCAAGGAACTTTCAAAGCAGCGGCTCTCATGCTGGCCATCAACCATGCTGCGTGGACGTTCGACTCCTGGGCTGGGCCAACATATATAACCCAGACACCCCATGTATATCATATATACCTACATTGGGGTGGTTTGAGGGGTCACTGTAGGCATATATGGCATACATGGAGCGTCTGGGTAAGTCTAGTCTGTGTTTCTTTTAAACCCTCTCACCCATCCTATCATTCAAGGAACTACAAGACCTAAAGCAGGCGCGCCGACCTTTTGCAAGATGAAGGGACAAGCCATCCATGCAGGACTCTGCCAACAGGCTTCCCTTCTCCCCAAACTTGCCTGTTGGTACCCTTCTGCACAGGCGCGCCTACTAAACCCCCAAAATTTTGAGTGACTGTGCAGCCTACGCAACCGCAACTACGGGAACTGACAACTAAGGACGGTCGAATTCAATTAGCGAACTTGGTCGCTGCATGAACTTGTACCACGGGGCCAGCACGTCCGCCAAGGTGATACGCACCCGATTTGCTTCAGGGAACTTGGCCCTCATGACCAAGGGCCATGGCTTCGCTTCTGGGTGGTTCAAACGACTTAGCAAGTCAGCCTCTTCATTCCGCTCGCCTGCCACATGGGACAGCTCCAAGGCCACTTGTAGCTCCAAAGCCGCAAAAGCCAAGGCCATCAGCGCAAAGCACAGCGGCGGCGCAGTGGACAAGCCCTTACTGCAAGCCGCGACCACTGGCATGTTGTCGCCATATTGCCGCAAGCGCACACAATGCAACTGTGCGTTCCCATCAACCTTTGCGCGAGCCAGAACCAGAGCCAGCTGCGCTAAAAGCTCCAGAGCACATATAGCTGCTTGCATCTTTTCCGGCCACTGCCAAAGATCGGGTAATTGGCCCTGCTCAATTTCCAGGTGGAACCAAAACAGTTTGTTTGACTCCAAGGCACGAAACCAACCTCCTATGCCGGAGAGAGCAGACCCGGCCCAGGCATCCGCCGCAGCGTCCTCAGCCACCCTCTCACCGGCCCAAGAGAAACTGTTGGTGCAAAACACCCGCTGTAAAGTGTGCAACGAGGACAACGAAACCGGATCCAGATCCACACAGGGAGTCCATGCCGAAAACCGGACCCAAATCTTGCCCGTGATCGTTCGGGGCTGTTGCAGCAGACGACGCGCATTGATGACACAATCAACTGTCTTGCCACCCACAGCGCGCAAACGCCACCCCTTTTGAATATCGCTTCTTGCAGCAGCAGACTGGACTACCAGCCCGTCCCCCAGGATCATGGCCAGCTCTTCTAATTGCCCCAAACTCAGACACTGCAAGCGTGACCCTGGCTTGTTCAGCTTGATAAAGAGAGGCGCAAGGAAAGCTCGCAATGCGAGCCGCACTTGAGTCGCCCAAAGCAGAAACCCCAAGAGCTGAGAGAGCTTCTTCCGAGGCACCCGTCGCGGATGCAACCTCCACCAAGCCAGCTCCCTAAGCACCTTCGCTTGCTTGCTTTCCGGCAAGGACGCCCAGAAACCAGAATGCAAGGACAACTGCCACCCCAAATAGGTCAACTCGGAACCCAATGCCAGTTTACGCCAGGACAATGGCACAGCCAAGATTTGCAAAATAGCCAGCACCAGCACCACCAGCATCGCGAACGCCCCCCGCGGCAGGAGGAATAGAAAATCATCCACATAAACCGCCCCCAGGTGGCGGTGGCGCACCAGGAAGTGTATGGTTCGTAACAGCAAAGCAGAAAGCCTTGACCACCAATACGCCGACCACGCGGCCCCGAAGTGGTTGACCACGTATGCGTAGAATTCTCCTTCAAGTGAGAATACCGAAAAGCCCACATCTTCAGCGGCCGTACGAATAGATTTGTGAGCCCCCTTGATGTCCACGCTGAACAACACCCACTCTTTGGGGTCCACCGCCACACCTCGCCAAGCGGCGAACCTGTTCAGCGCAGCAGTGAACAAGAAAAGCGAAGGCACCTCCGCCCGCTCAAGGAATCTGGCTGCCGGGCTCGCCCCACTGGCGCGGGAGTCGCCAATGAGCCGGTCTTCTTTTCCAGCGCACGTCACGAGCCCCAGCTTGCCAATTGCCAAGGAACCATCCGGGAATCGCTGTTGTACTGCCGACATCCCCCCTGCAATGTGTACCAAATAACCCAGGTCCACTTCTTTCTGGACTAAAGCGCGAACTTTAGCCGGCTCCTGTTCCGCAGAAATGTGATTGGAGGTGCACCAGAACAAATCGCAAGCCTCAGCCACCTCGTCACCCCATTTGCCAGAACAAGGTGGCCAAACACCAGATGCAGGGATTGGCTCCCGTACTCCCGTAGGCGCCCCGCGCCGAAGCACTTTGCACAGAGCAACATCTGGATCATCCATACGCAGAGCCAAACTTTCCAGCAGATTGAACTTGTACGGAGTGAGTTCAAAGGACTCCAATGCCCAAGCCGAATCGATACCCAAGGCTGAACAAACGGCCACTTGCATCAAATGCACCTCTGAGTCAGTGAAGAACGGATGCTCCAAGGTCTTGCCACACAGCGCGGCCGCCCGGCAGCAAGCATCTTTCGGCATGGAAGACCAAATTGCTTTGCGCACCGCAGACAATGGGTCCCGCAAAGCTCCAGGCGGAGGCACTTGCCAATCCAGAGTGCTCGACAGACCACCCCCGTCTTACAGAAAGATGCGGTGATAATCTGCAGGAGAACCACTCTCAGGCTGCTGAGCCACCCCCGCCACGTCAGCCTGGCCCGCATCTTGATGGAAAGCCGCAGGCTGCCAGGGTGGAGCGCTACCAGCTGGCAGCGAGGGGCAGCCTGCAGGGTCTGCTGCTACCTCGCTCCCGCATTGCTCCATGATGGGAGCGAGGCAACGCCCCTAATCCTCTTTCGCCAGTTGCAAAAGCTTCGCGCACGCATGCCGCCCATGTTCAGCAGAGCCGCAATGATCACAGTGATGCTTAAACTTGCATTCGTCGCGCATAGTGCATTTGCCTTCTTGGAAGCTCCAACAAAGACCCTTGGCACGCTTCACCCCTTTGTCTTTACCCTTGCCCTTGCCTTGGCCACGACCCTTGCCAGCACTTGTAGTTTCAGCACCATACGGGGAAGGACGCCTTCCCTTCTCTGCTGGAGCTTTGAGGCGCGGCTGCAGCCACAATCGCAAACTGTCTCGCACCACAACTGCCTCATAAATAGCCCTGTCCAAATCATTGCCCTTGCTCATCAAATCCTGCAGTTGACGGCAGAGTTCCGCATCCGCAAACTCGGCCTCTGCAAGGTTTGGGGGGCGCATCCCCACATCAGCCAACCCAACGCGATGATACAGCAGCATGAACTTGTTGACAAGCATTTTGCCCGACGACAAATGGCACCAATCCAGCAACGCCCACGCCACACTGCGCAGCGACAAAACCTTCTGCACAGCGAAGGGGGAGGAAGACACGTCAGCTTCCAAGGCGTCAACATGTCCTGTCACATCCGCCAAAAGGCCCAGGAGAGACTTCTCCTTAGAGTGGGAGCAGGACTGGCGGGAACGATCGTATTGCACAACGCTCAAGATTTGCTTCCAAGGGATAAACTTCAACTCCCCATTCCGCTTTTGGAGCGCGATCTGCTGCAGCAATTGCTTGCAGGGCTGCCCATCCGCTTCCAAGCACTCTGATGGGTAGTCCGCCGCAAACTTCTTCCACAACTCTGCCAACTGAGCCGCATCCAGCTGCGGGCCCACTGAGAGACCCAACAAGCTCGTCCCTGCTGCATCCGAAACCACTGGCGCCTGATCACCAGCGTCATTGCATACTTTTGTGCACATAGCCAAGAGACGCCGCAAGCGGCCCGCTTCCAAGCACTGGAGCAAAGAAGGCGCACAGCCCTTATCTACCCCAGCCGCCTGCAGCACAGCATCAATCGTCTCCTCAGCCCCGCTCTGCAGAGTCCAGTGCAACTCCGCGGCAGTCGCGAAGCCCCGCGCAGCCAACTCCTCCTGAACTTTGCTACACAGCCCCACCTTTTGCAACAAGTCCTGAAATTTCTTCTTGCAGTCCATCGCGGACATCGCGCCAGCAAAGACAAAGGAAGGCAAGACAACCAAACAACGAAGGCCAACGCCCAAACAAACACTCCCAGCGCACTTGCTAAAAGCTGTGGCACAGCACCAAACTTTAAACCAGGGAGCAGCTGCTCCTGTTACCCGCAAGCTGTTCAAACTGACAAGGTACACATTAATGCTAGGTGGGAGAGAGGGTTGGTGTTCCTGCCTACCCCGACCAACCGCGAACACCGGTACAAATCTGTGATTGGGGGACCTGCTAGAGGCCTCCGTTGTATAGGTACTTAAGTACTGGACATGCTTAAAATTCCAGTCTCTGCAATCCTTCACCCCACTAACTTTTTCTTGTGGGTCCAAACTCTGTGCATAGATCCAAACAAAATAGAATAGATTAGAAAGTAGATCCCCACATATCCCCCCTAATCGATCATGAAAGAAAAGCGCTATCTAGTTTGGAGATCCCTATAACTATAATGCGTTTGACGTTTACATCCGAAGCATCTGGTCTTGGGAATCCTTCATCTGGTCCCACACCGGGACTTGACAAACCACCGGTAGAATGGGTCGAAGCGGTCAGCGGCGGTCGACCGAGGTGCCGTCAGGAGGGCGTTGGTCTGCTGCCGCCGTGCTAAGGCCCAACGCAGCTGTGACATCGCATCGCGTTGGCAACTGTCCAGCCCCTGCGTTCAGGAAGCTTGGGATAGACACGAAGAGATCATGGGATAGAAGAAAAGGCGCAGGGGCAAAGAAAGTGTGTGCGACTCAAATTTAGCGATGTGATTCCAACAGCTGCAGGCTGGTTCAACAAAAACGATGCCGTCAAACTGCTGATGCTGCTCAGTTCAAGAACATAGCTGATGGTGGTGTAAACTATTATACTACATACAATGTGTTGGCCTGATGCTTGCTGGCTTTCAGGCCACTCTCTTCCAGAAATCTGAACGCCGAATGGTGAAAGTACGATTGTGCAAACATGGATGGAACAAAAACTCTTTCACAGTGAACAAAGTTGCCATGACTTGCCTTGTTCTTCCAAGAAGTTGTCCAAAAGGATGTTCAAAACAATGTTCAATTTACATCTTCAATCTGGTTTTCCTTGAGACTTGAGACTTGAAACCTTTTGCGCGCCTCCGCCGCCGCCGCGCGCGCGCGTTCGTTCGTCCCTCCATCAGTCGCCTCCATCGTCCTTGAGAAGCTCTTCCCCGAGCCGAAGGGCTCTTGCAGCGCGTCCACCTGGGGTGGGCGAGGACGGCGGCATCGGTGAACCGAAGAGGTTCGTTTCACCAGCCTGGGTGGTAGGTAGTGTGGTATGGTGGGTTTCCAGGGTAGGTGCCACAATGCAGGTAGACTTCCATTCACTCCTGAAACCACCCCAATGTAGGACTCAATGTAGGTATATCTTCCATATCTTCCTGGAGCATTCTGGGATAGAATGTCTTTGCAAGAAGCTTACTGAGCTTCTGAACAGGCTCAATGGGCTGAACTTCAGCTACTGGGGGGTCGTATCTTAACTGCACTAACGTGGCCATGAGTTTCTTGTGGCCTTCTCAGGCCATGAACGGGTCCCGCACCTGCAGCAGCGACCACCCTGTGTTGCGGCGTTGGAACTCTGCGCTACAAAGCGCACCATCGGCCACAAAGTGCACGGCAGCCAGGTCTCCTCAAGGCGGTGACAGTACATGGCCTTACCGAGAATATCCAAGAATAACAGGCATATCATGGCATATCATCGACTGTAGATCCATGATGATCCATGTGGCGGAATGCTTGTACATGCATCACTGAACCCCCCTGACATTGAGACCAAGATTGCTGGGTTTGGTGGCCGTGTGCTGGATGAATCGAAAAGCAGTGGCAGTGGCCGATGCAGAAACACTTTACAACTTGGTGGAAGCATTCCCAGTGAATCCATGCAATACCCATTCTTGGGGTGACAGAAGCGGTTTTCTGACGGGACATTCCTGCAAGACCTGTCCCCCAAGATGGGTAAGGGCTCTGCAGGTCAAGTACTCTCCGCATCATTTGCTCGACCCCAGCAGCACCGGAATCGTGAAGGTTGCCAAGCATGTTTGGCTCTGGCACAACCATCATCTGTCACCATCCTGGCATAAGTCAATTGATCCTGGAAGGTAGGTAGGATCGAATGGACTATATGGACTACTCACATGTTATATAGATCCTGGATGATAGGATCTCTAACATGTGATAAACCTTCAATTCAAAGCCTAGCCACCTAGCCTGGCAAAACCACGATCACTGTCTATGATATGTACTGTATTAATATATGTAGATACAAACGCGCATAAATTAACATAGCTCATGTACATCGAATTGTATACTGTATACTGTAGATATGGAGTACCTACCTAACACATCCCATGATATAGATATAGCGGCTCGCTTAGACATGAGCGGAGAGATCCACAGAGAACATGACACCACTCCTGGGCGGTAGAAAGAAAACGAAGAGATCGCAGCATGCTGTGATGAGTTGGCTGCACTCAGCAGGTTCCGCCCCAAAAAGAGAGGCCCATTCATCTCCTGAGTGGGCGCGGAGGTGTGGCACTCCCGAGAGAGGAACAGCTTCCCCAGCATATTGGACCACCATGTTCCAACATGTTCCAACATGTGCAACCCAGTGTCCCACCTACTAGCTAAACCGGAGGCAGCATAGTTTCTACTACACAGGGATATACAGGGATTGCTCTCTTTTCTAGGTCACTTCCAGTGGCATCCATTGGCAGCAAGTTGCCTAGCTGGTTTGATACTGGTCTTCTCCCATTTTGCCCAGCTTCCATGCCAACCACCTGCGCCACGGTGGCATACACATCAGCCATCCGCACCAAACCACCGGAATGGCTCTTGGTCTTCCATGCACGTGCCTCCAGCGCCAGCAAGGTGCGTGAGACGTCGGGCGAGACCAAGTTCCCATGTGGCGGGGGGTCGTGGCCAGTGAGCTGCTCCCCGTGATCGCCGAGGTAGAAAGCTAAGCCGTGCTCCTGGGGAGTGAGGCGGTTTGGCGATGGAGTGTAGGTGGATCGTGGGATATCTGGACTCTATCTTTGAAAGCTGGTAGAAACATGTTCTCGATGCTCCAAGTTTATCCTTCTCGTCCATGCACCATTGTGCCTTTGATGCGTTTTCCTGATCTTTAGAAAGCAGTTGCATGGCAGTTGAGCATCAAAACAAGGTTTAGCAGTTTAGCGAGTTGGGTCATGTACCAAAGAACGTGTGTGAAGGTGTGGTGAATTTTTGCGAACTGTGTGGGGTTGGTGAACTGTGCGGAGCTCGAAGGCATGAAAGGACCATTAAGTCACTGCAGCTGGTTGTGACGACTCGTGTTTGTTGCAGCTGTTCTTTTGGGTGAAAGCTCTTGAACCATGAGGATGCTTTCTTGATCTTGCGCCTGATATCCATCTAGTATTAGCCCTCCCTGTCTACAATACAAGTTTGATACGCAAAACGTGTTGTCGACCTAAGACAAGCCAGGGTGCACTCATTGGTGCTTGGTGGTGAGAGTCATCCCCCCCCACTGTAGATCCCCAAAGCCCTATTCCTTGCTCTCGTCGCACCAATCAGACCCGATGACTGGCATTTCCCCAGGCATCGCCCTCATATCTGTATCATTCTGTATCACATCTACTATAGAGACAAAAAGGGAACATGGAGTTGTGAAAGCCCAACTCTTGCATGAAGAAGCAACAAAACTTGAGACCAAGCGCTCTAACTCCTTCCCTCTCCTTCTTCCACTTGCCATCAACGCGGGGTCTTGGTGGCCAAATCTCAGCCAGTTCGCGTGCCACCTGATCCGTCCGCCGGTGCAGCGCCAGGAACACGTCCATCAGTGGGTCCGGTGCCCAGCCGCGCTCGTGCGGCTCCACGCGGCTGGCGTAGTAGGGCGGGTGCGCCTCGCCGCCGTAGAAGTACCTCTGAGGCGCAGAAGTGCCCTGCTGGGGGAGTGGAAATGGATTTCAAAATTCAAAACCAAAACAAAAAAACACCACCACCACCACCACCACCAACAACAACAACAACAAGGCCATGGTGCGAGTCGGACGGCGTGAGTCGGACGGCGATGTTGCG